GGGGGAGGTAGAGGTCACAAAATTCCTTTTTGAATTACACTTCGTTACCTTAGAATTACAAAGTAGGATCTGCTCAATACCTAGTTTTGAACAATTTGTTGTCAAATATTTTTTAGCTTCACACCATGTCAAGCTTTTTCGAATGCAAATCTTTGAAAATCTTGATAACAGCTCTGCATAATTTTACAATTTTGAAAGAGATGATAGAACATTTGGTTTCTGACCTCACGGTCTAATAAGTAACCAATAAACGGCCCAAAATGTTAGGTAGATCTAGAACTTTGTATGTAATTCTAAGGTAGCGAGTTGCGCGTGGATGGAGACACGTACCCTCACACGCCATGGCGTCTAGCGCCAGTCTGTAGCCCTCATAGCAGCGGCACTGCACGCCCCCGCCTATCTTCTCCACACAGCGCTGGTCACACGGGTTGTTGTCGTGGCAGTTCGCCAGAACTATAGGCATAGATTTGCGAGAATGGAGAGTTCGATTACAGATATGACACCCAAAAGCCTGCTTTCAGCACAGCGACATAGATGATGATGATGATGATGATGATGATGATGATGATGATGATGATGATGATGATGATGGTGATGATGATGATGATGATGATTGATGATGTGATAACAATCATAGTAGTAGTAATAATAGTAATAACAACAACAACAACTACAACAACAACTACAACAATAACAATGGCTGTAATAATAGCAACTTCTATAGCGCCCACTCCCGTATAACACAACTCTAGGCGCTTTACCATACCATCATTCCAACACAAAACACACGTGAATGAACATTCATAAATGCGCGTATTTTAGATTAAAGTTAACACACAAGTAAACGTTCACAGATCACAGCACAATGGTTAACGAATATGTGCATCACATTATGAACATAAGAGTACTATGAATACTAAGGACTATAACTATCAAGATGACACGTCATAATTAAGGTATGTTCTAAATGAATTTCAAATTTTGTTGCCGAGTTTGCATCTCTCAAATTGTGGGAGAGAGTTCTAGATAGATGGAGCAACAAGAAAGAAGGACCTCCCAGCAAGTTTCAGACCTCCCTTCCAAGGTGTTCTCATAAGAGACTGATCTCCCGATCTTAGAGATCTTGGTAGAACATACATTTGAGTGAGACCACTTAAATACTGGGGGGGGCTTTATGGTATACACATTTTGTCAAAAGACAGTAATCTTGTCTGTGAAAAAAATGCATGTATTGGCCCAACCCTAGGCAGAGAGACCAAGAGCTCTATGGTGGCCTGCAAGACCTTTGGCACACGATAGGGACTGAGATGTCCATAGATGAACGTGAAGAGAGAAGAAATGGGAGAAGTAATCTTGAAAGTAATTCTGGATATTGTTAGGAGCCAAAGGGTTGATGCTGTTAGCGAACAGAACACAATAATGAGTCTTCACACAGCTAGCTGTTCGGAGTCACAACTTGGTTCATAGCACAAATGAAGGGATGAAAAATAAGCACGTGTATATAAAAATTTAAAAAAAGAAGAAAATATTTTTTGAAGTCATTACATCTTAGAAACGATGTTACCAGCTTCAAAGCAAAGTAAGATTAGTAATAGTAGCATCAGAGATAAAACCACAAAGCAAGAATATGCTGTGGTTACGTTAAAACTCTAGATCTATTGCTAGTTTATGCACACATACGTACATAGTCCTAGATCAGGGGGCACCAAACTACAACCCACGAGCCAGATCTTGTGCACGAGGTCAGTTCGTCTGACCCGCTGCCATGACACCTTGCCATGTTTTTTGTTGGGTAGTTGTTGTTTTTTTGTTTGTTGTTTTTTTGCTGTTGTTGTTCTTTGGGGGGGTGGTGTTTGGGTTTTTTTGTGTTGCTGTTGTAGTTGTTGTTGTTGCTTTGTTTTGGTTGTCTTTATGTTTTCTTAATACAGAGTACAGTGCTGTCTTGAGCAAAAATAGTTACCCTGCCCACGCTCAGAATTCTCTGTTATCAGTCCTACTTGGAACAAACTTTGGTGACCCCTGTGTCTAAGAGTAAAAGTTCAGAGCATGCCCATATAAGACGTGACATGCCAACTGCAGACTATGAAGATTTTATAAGAAAGTATTAGCATGCATTCAACTGTGTTCGTGCAACCACGTAAACGATTTTAAGATGTTTTGAACTTTTAAATTGAAATGAAAAGACGTAATGCAGGTTTCGTTGTAGGGCACCATGCAAATAATTCATAAAGGAACTTTTTACTTTCAGGGAAAATTTGGAGTACTCAAAATTAAGATTACAAATTAGTGCACGCATACATATTCTATCGCTGACCGGCTGCTTTGGTGTTCAAAGTCGAAACTTATAGTATTTACATAATAACATTGGTGCGCAGGAAGCTTAAGTGTGATGTGCTATTGTTCCAACCATTGTCACCGGGCACCCCGCTTCCATCCACTGCCAGGCACGTCCTGTTGTCTAAGGGGTCAAGGGTGAGTCCCGGGGGGCAGTCGCAATAAAACCCTAAGGCTGTGTTCACACACAGGTGGGAGCAGAGTTGACCAGAGTAGATGGTGCACTCGTCGATGTCGTCCTCATCGACAACTGTCTCGCCGGTGCTGGAGTTGCTGCTGCTGCTGCTGTTGGTGGTGCCGTCATCCACGGTTGGTGCAACTGACGGGATGTTGTTGTTGTTGTTGTTGCTGGTCTTATGACTTGCTCCATCTGAGTCTGGGTCCTCGCCAGGTATATTGGATCGCTTAGTGTGACTACCACCTTTTTTAGGACAACCAAAGCATTGCTTCTTTTAGTGCACCATATAATCGCCTTGAAATAAAATGTATACGCCCCCAAGGCCATAATTCACGAGCTCACATTGGCAAACGATCGCATAACAATCCATATCTTACACCATATTATCCACACCCGTTAATGAAATTTTACATCCGGAAGAAATCGCCTTAAAACCCATGAACCACAGGTTTAAAATGAATGATCAGGTTCTTTCAGCTTTGCAAGATACCACAGCTTACCATGTAACAAATAAAAACATTTTTGAGAAACCAACAAAAATTGTATGAAAAGTAAGCTAATTTCCTTATAACCTGGGTGAATAGAACAGAACTGTGTGAAATTCTAGATCTAATGCAGGCAGAAGGGAAAGGGTTAGACTTTTAGAGTGTAAACTGTAGTAAACACACATAACAAGATCTCACTTCGAAGAAAAGTTTGGACAAAGAAGGCAAACAGATATGAATACCAATCTACATATTTGACGGTCTACTGCGTTGTTTCTGTTCTACATCACGGTCTACCACCAAACCAGTCTAACAATAATATTATTCCACTTGGCAGTTTACTTATCTTCTACCGTACCGCAACCTTAACCTTAACCTTAACTTAACGAACAGCAAGGGTTAGGATTTTGATTAAGGTTAGGTATACGGTTATGGTTGTGGATGGTAGACTAGTAGACTGTCACGTGGACCAGTTGTTAGACTGTTCCTGTGGTATACCACCATGTAGCACAGAAACACAGTGGAGACAGACCGTCAAATGGAATAGCACCCACATTTGCATACAGATGGAGGCATATTCGTACGTTATCCATACACATGTGCAGACCATTAGATACTTAGATCGTCAGTTGTTTGTTTGCGATTATTTGATTTTGTTGTGTTCTCTTGTAGGTGTGTTTTTTTTCATATTCTAGTGCATAGTGAAAATAAAATAGAAGCAACAGAAATGTGGTTTCTTGGGACTGCTGAGGGTATCGTGGAAGGAAAAGAAATCAAATGAGGCAGTGCTTGATGAAGCCCACGTGGGACGCTCACTGTTAAAAACAGTCAGGAAACGACAACTGCAGTTTTGGGGACACCTTAATAGACATGAATCATGAAGGTCTTGAACATCTCGCTCTCACTGGTAAAATTGAATGCAAACGAGGCAGGGGTAGGCCCAGAGCAACCTACTAGGGGAACCTAAACAAATGGGTAAAGGGGAAAGATCAGGGAAACATAGCTTTTTTAAGAGTATCCGAGCAAAGGAATGAATGGAGAAATATGATCGCCGATGTCTGTCGCAGATCTGGCACTGGATGATGATGGGATAGATTTTGTTCATTATAGAGGCTGAGAGAGATGGGGACAAACTAACGAATACACTAGAAGAACTCGAGGAGTGAGGGGAGGAAACGAAGTAACGAAAAGAAAGAGGGAGTGTTGTGTGGCCCTGATTTTGATGATTGGACCGGTGGAATAATGCGATGATTGATGTTCTCTTGCTTACAGAGACGTCAACGAAGTTTAAGATGCTTAGGGCTTTTTCTTTTAAGTATGTGTTTTATGACATTCTGAACATAACAGAGGTGGATTTCGACCTAGCCAGTCAGGGCTAACCCGAGCTGATAGGGATGTCCTGGCAGAAAGATCGAGAGACTTGATATAGCCTAACTTTTCCCCACACCGGAATCGAACTCAGGTCTTCAGCAACAGCGAAGCACCTATTTAACATAACTGTTACGCCACAGACGCTAGTGTCAAAAATATGGAGTAAGAGGGAGAATAAGGAAACAAAAGGTGTACGTTTGATGAAATAGCGTTGAAAAAAGAAAAATGAATAGAATGATGAAAATATGAAGGAAATAAAGACTGTTAGGGATGCATCCTTGGCTCACTGACCACTGAAAGAAACGTTTCCAGACTCCTGTCCTCGGCAACATTCCTGGAATTTGATGTCACACGGCTCGCCCAGGCCTGGACTCTCACAGGACTGGGAGGTGCTTCGGGAGACCACGCCCAGTTGACAACAGTGACAGCATTCCTTGGGAAAATAGCAAAATGGTCTGCGTTCTTGAGGTAACAGTTTGGGGTTTTTCTTCTTGTGGGTGTGAGTGTGTGTGTGTGTGTGTGTGTGTGTGTGTGTGTGTGTGTGTGTGTGTGTGTGTGTGTGTGTTGCTTTCTTGGGTTGGGGGTCTTTTTTTAAACAACCCTTAATTGAGCTGTAAGAAATATTGTTATTCATTGTAATGTACATCTACTGTTGCATTCAGAGGCAATGGCTCACATTAAGGAATCTTGTTTAACCTAATCGAAAGTTGATAACAAATAAATGTTCCTGCCCAACAGCATATTATAACATAATAATGATAACAGAAAACAGGCTGGGTCAGATCAAATGTGGAACATAGAAGAAGAACGAAACATTTACAATGTTATGAAATGGTAAAAAAAAATCCAAAAGATCTCAGGGGCAAAACCTCAAATCCAAACCCCAAGCACAACTGTAAGGTAATGCTCTTACTACGCGCTGTACAATCATTTTAAGTAAGCAAAACAAAGACATAGAAAATCACATTCGCTGAAGTGAAAAAGAATGACAGTATTCATGATCTGAAAAAGATGTGTGCGTGTGTGTGTGTGTGTGTGTGTGTGTGTGTGTGTGTGTGTGTGTGTGTGTGTC